AGCTGTTCTTGCTGTGTCTGCTTATCGCGGCTCCTGTTTCAGTTCTGGGAACTTAACTTTCGCGTTTGGGGCTGTCGAAATGTTTTATGTTACTTTTACTAGCCACTCCTCACGTTTTTAATGAGTTCAGCAAGCCAAAAATCAAAAGCTACACAAACTGTATCCAAAATGTTGCCCAGTCCCGACCAGGTGAGCGGGCGAAACTGAGCAGGGTTTGTAGGGGGCGAGCTTTAAGGCCAATTCTATAAAGCGGATGGTTTTGAATTATGCAGCAATGCACTCGCCGCCACTAGAAATGAACTACTTGACCTCCGGTCAACAGTGGCCACGCCCCTGCTTCAGCCCATGTCCTGTTATGAAAAATGTTTACTTACTTGCCACTTGACCATTTATTGCCGCATTGGCGCCGCCGCCGCTGCTGCCCAGCTCACAGATTGTGGGGCTCTGCTCGCCGTTATTTGGCTCACTGGCACCGCCTGCCGTCGACGCTGCACCACCAACAGCACCGCTTGTCGCAGCTCCAATACCGCTGCTGCCACCGCTGCCCGCACTGCTGTTGCTGCCACCTGGGCCGGCGTTGCTCTCCTCACGTTTACTTGGCAGAGTCTCCGGCGTGCTGGCAACTGTAAGCAACCAAAAAAAAAAAAGGAAGAAAAATATATCTATGTGCAAAATGTCTTTAGAGAATGCTTTTCTTTTCTTATATTTCTTTCGCTTATGTGTTAGTATACGAGCTGCCTTTCAACAGGTCCCAAAATAGCCCACTTCACATACAGTCGAGAGTGCCCAGAGGCCTTTAGCTGTGCCTTACATAAATAAGCACCTTTTTTTTTTGGGTGCGATTTTGGGTAAACTGTATTGTTATGTCGCACAGCTCGAGGGTCTAAAAGGGTATGCGCTATTGTATAAGCTTTCTGTTAGGATAATATTGCAAAATTATGACTATGTGTGTGCAGCTGAGCTTATGGCATGGGTTGCGTACAATAAATGTTAACGCATCAAGTAAAGTGCACGACTGGGAGTTACCCTGTAACCAGCGAACAAACATTCTATGTACCTTTTAGGAATGAGTATGCAATTTGTAGGAATTGAATTGTGTGTAAGTCCAGTTGGTACAGCACAATAATTGGTATTAAATGCAACTATGTTTTTGTATGTTTCAATTTCTTAGTGACTTATTTAACTAAATCTCAAGCTGTCCGGCTCGAGTCGCAACGAGCAAAAACAACAAGGTATAAACAGCTCAAGTTAACAGGTTATCTGACGGGCTATTTCAAGAACCTTCCGGTTATATCATCACAGACTTTTGCCACCGACTCTAGATTATTGATATTTGTTTTTATTTGATTTGAAAATGTTATTTTATTTGGATTATTTAATTGTCGTCCATAGCTGGTTTTGCATGAAGATACTTTGTATTAGAGGTCAGATATACTTAATACACCTAGTACACCTTGACATTAAAATAAAAATAAGCTTCAAAATAATTAATTCTCGCTGTTGGAACAACATAAAACTTATCTTAAGCGAAATCGGAATATATTGAGTATTTCACAATTCGCAAGCATTGGCATGCGTTTTTTTCCTCGCATTTTTCGTATGTGATAAGATTTCATCAAATAATAATTATATTTATAAATATTTTTATATTCTACAAGTTTTTATTCTTTCCCAGCCATTTCAATGCAGTTTAATATATATTTACTGCTTATCAGTTTCACTCATTTTACTTACTTAAAAATTATTTTATTTGTTTTTCTTTTTTTTTTAGTGATTCATTACTTTCTATTTACTGATTAAAATTATCGAAAAATCGATCTGTGCAAATGCATAAATAATAGAACGAAGCACACCCGACCCCATTGAATATACAAGTTCTTAATCAACCGAGTCGATCTATTCATGGCCGTCTGTTTAGTTTGTTCTATGAACGTGATGAACTCAAAAACCGTACAGAGAAATATGTTCAGAGGTTGTAATCGCGATCGATAACTTGGCCCGTTTCAATCGATACAAATCGAAATCCTGTTTATTTTTCGGCTTATTTCTTCGCTTGAAGGAGCTTAAGTTAGCAAATGAGATATGTAGCTTCTCGAATAGTATACACAGATCTAGTGTATCGTTTTTTGTGTATCGCTTAGGTAAATTGAAGCTTGAATTTTGGGTAATGTAAGAATATGTATGAATGTATTGGTATGCACGTGCATACCTGTTACATATGATGAACATATATATGTTCGGGAATCTCCTAGTCGAATAGAGTACACTCTCTTACTTAGATGTCTTGTTGCAATCAGGCAAAATAATGTATATGCTTAATGTATATTGATATTTTGGATTTTTGTTTTATTAAAGGTATCTGTGTTTTATTTTCTTGTGCTGTCCCCATTTGGATGGGGGTCGGCAATCCTTTGACTTAGAAGCTTTTCTAAGCAGCTAGGACCATATTCACGTACCATATTCATATTCAAGCTCTAAGCAAGGGCAGGCACTTCTAGAAGATTATTGTTGGCATATTGCGCATACGCTACGCTGAACATATTATACAATAGAATCAATTGACAATCGTATATTGTTAGTTTACAATTGAAAGGTGTCAAATGTCACGACAATTTGTTGCATATACTTATTTTGTTTGGATTTGTTTTTTAGAATTATTGTACAGCTAATTATTGACGTTGGATTGCTCAGCCAAACGGCTTTGCGGCTGTCAGCTTGCTGAGTTGTTATCTATTCAAATATATATAAAACAATGCCAACGACTGTGTGAAACTTCAGTCTTGTCTAACCAGTCGCCCAGCTCTAATCATCATGCGTTTCCTCGCTCTTATCGCCCTCTGCCTGTTGGCCTTGTTCGCGCTCACCGCTGCCGCCGATCAGGAGGAGTTCTGTGCCTGTCCCCGCAATTTGGAGCAGGTCTGTGGCACCGATGGCACCACCTATCCCAATCCCTGTGAGCTGCGCTGTGCCGCTAAGCGTGCCACTCGTCAAGGGCGCTCTCTGGGCCAGGCCAGAAGTGGACCCTGCTAGATTCTTTAACCATATCGGATTTGGGATAATGCTAAATTTACTGAAGCTTCAAGAGAAATAAACATTTTAACGAGTATTGCAAACTGGACACGTGTTACTTGTTGATTTTGCTGAGTTTTGTTTAATCAATTGTTCGCACAACTTATTCCAGTGATAATAACATTTCTATGCCAGGGCTGGGTGAGTTGCAGCCAAAATTTCAACAAACTGGGCATGGAGTTTATATACTAATTATATAGTTTATATACTATATTAAAGCTCAAATAAATAATATGAAAACCTTATTTGCAATTGCTGTAATTCTAAAGTTTATTCAAACTAAAGAAACTTTTTATCCAGATGAGTTTTGCAAATGGAACGTCAGGCAAACTTGGCTACAAATAAGTATGTACATTGTAAATCTCATACAAATGAGAATTTCTTCGTTCGATCGATTAGCAGATACTGGGACTTTGTGAAAAGGTTATTTTGCAGAGCGTAAGCAAAAAATTTGTGACCATTTCGACTGCTTATTTATATTCACATTCAGCATTTACAGCCAAGTTCTTCTGGATATACGCAGTTTCTCTTTAACTATTTTTTCATATATAACCTAGGATGTGATTCCGTTGTGGAAAGTATTGTTGCACCTTATTAAATTCATGATTACAAATGTCTTGGAACAACTTTGTCGAAACTTACTCTCCTTCATATTGAAGGGCACAATGCGTCGCCTAGCTCTCATTGATGTCTACCTATTAGATTGGATGGAGATATTAGGCTGGTTTGTAATTGTCCAGAAACCAGGGAATTGCCTGCTGGAGTTTGTCTTTACCAAGATCCAAGATCTCTTTTCGAATTTGGGATCTTATTTTCGCCTCTTGTTTAGACTTTTATGCGTTCCCTAACCCTTAACATCCTCACCGCGTATAATTTTCTAAGGATAAAGTGTATCTTATCTAATCTGCAACCTTCCATGTGCACTAAATATGTCGCAGATTCATAGAACTGAGTTCAAAAACAAATAAATGAAAAAAACCAACATTGCAAATTGTGAATGTATTGCAATTGGATTTATTTACGCAAGTGTTTAGCTGCTATTCATATGTGCCAATATATGTAGAAGCAAATCAAACAATAATATTATAGCAGGGCTGACGAATCATCATCAACAGGTGGCAAAAAATGAATAGCTTAACTTTGAAATACTAATATATTTGTGCAGTATTTCTGATTGCCCAGTAAATAAAAAAATCATTGTCAAAGTTAAATAGATACAATGGTTTGTAATCGTAAAAGAACTATTTATTTTGATCTTTCGATCATCCTTTAGCAAAGTACCTCTAGTATATATAGAGGGTATTATAACGCAAAGAAAAAAACATCTTTGAACCAAAAAGTTATATATTTTTGATCAGAATGAACAGCCAAGATGAACGGATATATGCGAGCAAGTCTCTAAAGATATCATCTCAAAGCATTCCAAAGATCCGTAAAAACAATCGGTCGAAAAGAAAAACTCTTTTGTTTGTCAGGATATCTTTACCTTACATATATGCAACATATTATTAATATTGGTATGAAAGTATGAAAAACTTTTTTGGGAATATTAGAAGATTAGGCTTTTAGAATCGAAAAATTCATAAAGTATATTCAAGCAACTGGCTGCGGAGCTTGATCAAATTGCACATCTTATTTTTTTTTCTCGTGTATGCTTTTAAATTTCTATATGTTTGCTTAACTATTTAGATCCTAGTATATTTGTTGTTCACAGTTCATTTTAAGCGGAATCAATGGTTCACGGAAGCCAACCCTTAAGTCTGAGCGCATTGTCATCTGATTTATAGCTGTTCATATGTTGGCCAGATAAAGACTGTTGCTATCAATCGGCACTCCAAATGGGCTTACTGATAAGCGGCAATATTACACATATACATTTATATTACCCCATTGATGATTCAGCTCAGTTGATTCACAATTGAACAAAGTGATTTTATTTTGAAGAAATTTTAAATATTTTTAAATGATTTTATATTGACAATTGTGAAAGAATTCGGCTCAGCAACTTCCTGATCTTAGCAAATCCAAGCTGCGTCCAGCCCTCTCCAACTCGCGACGCGCACAATCGTATAGACAGCGATTCGGGTAGGAGATCAAATTGCTGGCACAGACCGGATCATAATTGCGTGGGCACGGGCAGATCTTTCTGGGCAGCTCCAGCTTATCCTCCTCCTGATCGCCGCTTACAAATGCAGCCAGTAGCAGGCACAGGGCCAAAAGCAAATTAAATTTCATTTCGTTTTGTGTACAGGTTAATCCACAAGCTACTCAATATTGATACTGGCAGTGTGGTTTTTTGTTTTGAGTGGGCCAGTTCCATTGGCTCGATTTTATGTATGGGCCTTATCTTATCGCGCGTGCTTGGTAGTTTGACTTTTTTTCTTTTTTTAAATATATATATTTTGGTTTATTGTTCGGGTTTATTCAATAGTTAAATGAATATTGGGCTTTGCTTTCAATATATATATTATAAATTAAAGAATATATTTGCGCATTTTATTCTTGTCTTCTGTTTATGCTCCAGCCGGACGCGCTCTTGGAAATGCTTAAAAGCTATTGCGTTCAAACTCTTCCGCGTTGCCAACTATTTGGTATTCTGAAAGCTCTCTCTCGTGCTCATTTTTCTCTTCGAGATGGAAACGTACCGATATATTGACGCACCATTGTCTCAAACTTCGGTTAACGCAGTAATGCTAAGAATTTGATAATTATTATATGTGCTCCTTTATATACTATTGCGTAAATCAATATCTCCAGCACATTATGATCCAGATTTATATATCAGATAGAGTAAATATGACATGCAATATCAGAGGTTTCCTAAGGCCTCCGAACTCTTTTTTCTGATTTAATCGGTCATTACGCTGTGAAACGAATTATGAGCAGACACTTACTTATTTATTAAATTTTTTGATAAATCTATATAATTAAATTTAGATTCTTGTCTGCTCGCACGTGAGCACGCACGAAAAGCGCGACACGCGCCCATCTCTAGTATCAATAAGCACACACACACACTCTCCCTCCTCGCTCTCTCTCTCACTTCTTATCAGCAGGGGCACCTTTTAAAGGCCACCGATCGTTCTGAGCCCATGATAATCGGCAGGTGGCAAAGGTAATTGCCGTAAAATAGTAGTTCGCCAGCTTGGGCTCTTATTTGCAAAGACACTCACTTCAATTTCAATGTTAATTAATTAAATGCCATCATATTTATAGCTTTTCTTTTCTATTTTATATTGTATGTTAATTTGTGCACTCTATTGTTGTCTAACTAAGTACTTTAGCGGTAATTCACTCAATTTGAAGAACTTTGTGTCACTGGGGAAATCAGCCTAAGCACACGATAAATTTTTCTACTTAGTTTCAAATGTGACATAGCCATGCGCATTGCTAGCCTTTGGCCTGCCCGCTTGGATGTGCTGCTGTTGGTGCTGCTGCTCCTGCTCTGGCTGCATAGCTGGTTGGATCCGCCGAGGGCGGAGGCAATCAATTGCCAGCCGTGTAAATTGCTGGAGGCGCGCAAAACGCATGCAAACGAAACGCTAAACAATTTCAAGAAAACACAAGCACACTTTAAATAGGGGCTGCTATATACGCGACCGGGCGAGGGGAGTGGCACAGATGTGTTTTTTTTTTCCAAGTCGGAATAGTCAACAGCTTGTTGACTAATTAGCAAAACTGACGCATACTCAGATAGTACTTGGCCCAAGCCACCCCCCTACCACTGCCCCGCTGGTTCACTCTCTCCCTCTCTGTCTCTCTCTTTTCATTAAACAGAAAACAGTTTGCTTTGCTTTTGACGCTCAGTGCAAATTCAACGCTCGACGCGCAACGTATTGCGACACATCTCACAGATTCTGTAAGCATCTCGCAGATACTTTGGAAATCATTCATTTCGGTGGCAGCGGCTAATTATCTCAAGTGAAAATGAAGTCTTTGAATTTGTTGGCTTTGCTCGTCTTTGTTCTGGCTGCCATTTGGCTGGGCTACGCCGAGGCCAGTTTTTGTCCCTGTGACCTTAAACAGAAGGGGCAGGTGTGCGCCTCGAATGGCGTTACCTATACAAATCGCTGTGAGTTCGAGTGCACGCAGCGGGATTACAAGAAACTGGGACGACAACTCAACATTCAGAAAATGGGGCCTTGCTAACTGTGGACGGATCTTCATTATGGATAATTACTGCTGAAAGTTAAAGTATATATTTAAATCATAAAAGTACTTCTCATATGTTAATCGTTATTTTAACTCTCATTAATCAATTGTAATTAAAATTTGCTTACTACGCTGTTTACCCTACACTAATTCAGATGAAAATAAAAAACAATAATGGCTACGCTTGAATAATTTTGTGTACTCGAACAATTTAAAAATGTCCAGGTACCACACCTTATAGGTGATTAAACGTTATTTGATGAACGTTGATTATGATGGAAGAGGGAGAGAGATGGCGCGAGGGACATGTCTACCAAAGGAGCTCCGAGACACGCAAACCCACAAACTACGATCGTCCCGACTCACCAGTTACCCATTATGTTTCTGACACACATATAGTGGGAACATTGATGGATGAGCTTGAAGTGGAAACGGGTTTAATTACAACCATTCTGATTGCCACCTTCAATGAGATGCGCCGAAGCGTAACTCGATTTATGGCATAGTATGCAAATATTGCCATTAAATGCTAATTAAAAGTATCAACGACTACGTCATCAAGTTGTCGGAGCTCGCTTCGCTGTCATTGATAGTCCCCGATTTGTCGTTTAAATATGCCCCTCACGTACATCAATCAAATTGTGCATAATTAATCGACAACGCCCGCCTGCAGAGCGTCCACAATGGTGCCCATTTCGGGCTACGGATTTTCTGATTTCTGGATGTGATTTATGAACTGTATTACGCTTTTGTTAATTGAATCTCAATACGTGCGACACGAATGTCAAATTACTCAAAATGCCACCGTGCAACATTTTCGGCAACAACAGATACAAGTGGGGCACATTTATGAAGCATGCTGAGCAGCGGGACTGCCGTTTGTTTTATGACAGGAAGCTGTCAGCTGCGTTAAATAAAGAGAGTGTTATTAAAAAGATAATACTATGTTGAGTGGAATGACGACATGAGCCTTTATCTCACTGTGCATTAGCCTCAAATCTGTTAATAGGCTGTCTCGAGGGCAGTTTGGGGAATGGGAAACTGGTTGGCGATCCCAAAATACTTTGATTCGAAAATATATTGTTATTAAAACGCCTAATCCAAGTGGATATAACCCAGCTTTGCTCGGGCCTAGCTTTCATGCCTCCATTTTGGTAGATTTTACAAGAAGCGTGAAAAATTAGGTTGAGCCCCGATCACACCGTTAGCAAAAACTTCCCATTCAACTGTTTCTAACCCATTCCCGCACATGGAATTTGAATTTTTCTTGAGATAGCTTTCGTGTCTTCGTATTTTATCTGAATTAATAAATTATTTAAAATTTATGGTGCCTACTTTTTGGATTTCATTTAAATAGGATTGCCACTTAGCTAAGCTTTTAATGCACATGCGTATATAAAGTCTATAGGTAAACATTTATTCCTGCAATAATGGAAGGTGGGTAAAATAAATATTATTTTATTGGCAGCTTTTAAGGTTCTTAGTTGTAATTTTTGTGCGCTTGGCATTGTGTCAAGGATTTTATATAAGCTTTTAGATTTCAGAAATATGTGTTGAGGTCAAGAGTCTTATATTAGACACAAGATATTTATCGTGCAATTAAAAGCAAAAGCTAACGAATTACGTCCATGCCCGACTGATAAATAGAAACTTAGTATAGCCTTTTTCATTACATATGCACAAAGCCCTACATTAGACATTGCCAATCTCTACGACTGACAACAAAGCCAGTTCGTGTTTGTTGTTGTAATCGATTTTGATAACAAGTATTTGATAAGCGTAAACGTATTCACATCAAATGGCAACGCAAATAGCAATCAGAAACACGTATCTGCCGTGTGTCCTGAATGGAACTGAACCAATTTGCTGACGCTTAAGGGTTGTCAGACCTGAACAGAATGCGAGTAAACAGGTATGAAAAAAAAAAAAAAAAACACGAATATACAATTATCTTTGGGTTGCAGACAATTAAATACCCTAGCACCCGTACGACAGATATATACGTAATCATCTTCAGATTTTTATTGCTATTCGATGAAACAATAATGTAGAAAAATTGTTGTCAAAATGTTTGTCACGAAAATTTCTGAGCGCTTAAAAATAAATTGGTTTTATATTCTTGTGGAAAAGGCAGTGAGACATCTCTCACCTTATTAACTGTATATATTTATGATCAACCATATCTGTCTGTCTGTTACCTTGTAAAATAGTCTCTAGTTCTTAAACCTATCCACGTAAAACAAAGCATAGAGTTATCTTCCAGACTCCAGGCAGTTAGAACAGACCGGATTAGATTGCCATAGAAAATATCAGTCGATACTCAACTTTAAAAAAACTATCACTATCAAACTCTGGTTTTACTGATTTCAGCGATCTCTTAATTCTTTATCATATTTGTTTAATTATTAACTTTTTGTTCTTTAAGTTATCTGCTTTTATTGGTTTCATTATGTCAAGGCTTTTGTTATGTCAGCGTGTCGAAAATAGATGTTGTTTCTTGTTTATATAATATCAACATATTGTTATCTAAATCTGTGGTAACTTTCGGAGATTTTGTAAAGTTTTATTGGTGAAGGTGGAAGCCGTTCACGTGCCATGTCAATCAGCATTACGCTAGTTGAATTAGCTTGAATAAGACTTACAGGTAGTATCCGGCATTACCTGGTTAAAATAATAACTATTACTAACTATTAATAAATGCCCCTTTATCAGTTCGAAATATTAAATACCCTATCTTATTGCTAAAATTCTTACTAAACAAGTATAATCTTTACCTTTACCCCACCGCTCCAATTAGTTAATCAACTAAAACTGTTGTAAATGTATCGCATAAATATAAATTTCAATAATTTAAAAGGATTGTAGTCAGCATTAGTAAGATGTAGACTTTGTATGTAGATTATATTAACCTGGACTCTGACCCATAAAACAAAAGCTTTTTGCGGTCAAAGATGTTTCCTGCCATGTTAAATTCCGTAACTCGACAGAACTATCCCTTGCCAGGGTATAATAAATCTAATCCTAGCCATATGTTTTGAGAGCGTGCATTAAATTTGAATCAAGTCCCCGCACGAATTAATCGGAGTCCGTTTTTTCTTGCTGTTGGTTTTGTCTGGCTGCTTTTTTTATTTATTTTCTTTTTTAATATGCCAAGCTCGCACCGCTTTGATATTATTAAATATTTACA